TGAACGTTGAACGAATTGTTTATCTACAATTATACATATATTCCATATTTGTTGCATTTTTTGGGAAGTTTTACGCATAAATTTTGGTTCCACATTAAAAGTAATGAATTTAGATGAACTCAATACTACAAGGCAACATTCTCCTTTGTATATGAGATTGTTCGATATAGAAAATGCGTTAGCAGGCCGCGAAGTTTGTTCATGAAAAGATGCATGAAAATATTTTGCAAATCATTCTTAAGTTAGTATTTCAAACTTTCTTTTATGTAGTTTTTCAGTTTTTCAGAGAAGTTGATTTTTCTTTTTTCCAAAATTTGAAAACAAAGTTACTTCTTTTTTTTAAAAAAAAAATACTTTGCAAACAATCAAAGTTGGAAAAATTGAAATCCCTTTTCCAACCAAATCCCAATGTCAAATAAAACTTGATTATCAGTCGTAGTTTTACGCTTCCAAGTGGTGGCCAAATTGCAGAACAGCGAAAAACAAAGTTAGAAAAAGAATGTTGTTGAATTTTGGAATGTTGGACGTCAAGATCATTAAGTCTAAAGCGTATCCACCATTAATTAGTAATACATGATAATCTGAATCAGTACTATGCTGAATATGCCTGTGGCTAATACAGTTCTACCAAAGCACCTTGGCCCCATTTATAGAAAAAGTAGAGACAAATTGCTCTCATAAGTCCATTCTCTCAGCACTCCTAAGTCCTATCCCCTTCGGAAAAAAAATAAAATAAATAAAAAGCTGAAATGAATTCTTGAATGGACATAAGAGCACGAGCTTCACTATTATATGGGATAGGAGTCAAATTTAGCCAGAAGGTATAATCTGTCCAACTTACCTAAATTTGTACCGGTTGAGCTGAATATATAGGGAAATTTTCATAGTTACTTATGAATTTATAAGATATTTTATAATCTACAACTTGCATTAGAATTACAAATTCTACAACAAAATATAAATGATACACTCTAAAAATATAGTAGATTCCCTATTATCAAAGCAGTTGTAGGAAACTTAAATAAATGCTAGAAAGGTTGTATTCTACGTAAATTCGTCAATATATATTTGTTGGCGGGTCATTTTGGGCATAGTCCAAGTTAGCTCCTCAAAAGTTTGCACTAATTTGAACGGCACATTTAAAACATTAAAAAAAATTAGTTTAATTTGTTTTATATAGTCATAATAAATACAAACAAAAGTTTTTATTATTTTATCTTTATAGTTAAATAATTATAAAAAAGAAAACAAATGAGAAATATTTGAGTTGTGCGAGTTGGATTATAACTCAATATTTAGCCCAAATTGACGTGCATCTTTGGCCCAATCAAACTTTGGGCATGTTATTACCCAACCCGTTTATTAATGAACAATTTATGCAAAATACCCATTGAGCTTAAAATAATTACACTTTCCTATCCACTTGAAAACTATTTACGATATATACCTACCCAATTAAAACTAATTACCCACCCTACACAACCTTAGCTTGATTTGACTTGGCTTGAGTTGGCTTCGGTTGGCTTGACTTGATTTGGCTTGACTTGGTTTAGTAACTTAGTATGATTTCATTTGGTTGGTTTTGACTGGGTATTAAAAAAATTGGGTAGGGGGAAAGTGCATGGGCATGGACTGGTAATTAGTTTCCAGCGCACGGGTATTCCTTAAAGTCCCCATTATTAATTCAACTCATTTAACTAGCATAAATGTTGCTCAACCCGCTCATTTGACACCAATAGAAACCGAGAAAAGCTGCGAGCTTCCTATTTTCAATGTAATATTAGTAAGTATATTGAATGATGCTTAAGGTTTACATAAGACTTGGGTGAATATTTGTAATTTTACCAGTTAAACAAGATAAAATCATAGCACACGAATGTAGAAGTATTGGGATCGCTAGGTTTTAGACAACTTTTGGAGATCAGTGTGCTTAATTATACTCATAATCTCCTATCTTGCTTTGTTTACTAATATACTCATTGGAGTTGAATGTGTGCATCCACTGTGCCCTTGTTAAACGTATCTAGCTACCTCTTCTGCATTATTTGAAGTAATTAATTAAGTACTTAATTAATATTTGTGATTCTCAATTAGGGGTATCTCATTGAGAATCACACTAGAAAGGAATAATACACAACCATAGCAACAAAGGAAACGAGAAGTTATCACACACTACCCTCCCCAGACCCACTAGTGAGATTATACTGGGTTGTTGTTGTATATTCGAATTTTTTTCTTAACGTTAATTTTTAAGATATATTAGCAGCGTTATAAAACAACTTTTTTCAGCAATTCTTTTTTTTTTGAATTTAATTGACCAACCAAAGTTGGTTGGTAATTTACGACCAACGTTTGTCGGTATGCCCTTCCGATCTTCTAAATACTGACCGCACATTAATGGTCGCATTTTGGACGATTATTGGCCATTACCGACCAACTTTGGTCAGTTTTTTTGGACGGGTTTTCCCGAATTTCTAGTAGTGTAATTTCCCAAATAACCAAATTGCCTAGGTAAATCCCCAAGAAAATATCCCCAGCTAAATTCGCATGTAGAGTTTGTAGGCATATAGATTTTACTTAAAATTAACTCCATAAAATAATTTGGACTATATTTTAAATTCAAGATATGTTAGTCCAAATAAATACTACGGGCTAATATAATTGAATTAATTATATAAGTCCAAATATATATATATATATAGATTAAATAAATAAATCTTAATTCATTGCGCTGGCCCATTTTATTGGGCTAAAGTGATGAGCCCACTTCATTAAGCCCAAGATGACATCTTCCTAAAGGCCAAGTTTGGTGCCACGTGTCAAATGACGTGGCGCGCCAAGTCAAGCGGAAGAGCCAATAGGATCATACCACGTGTCAAAATGACAAGGCATGCCCAGTCACACTGAAAGGCCAATTAAATCGCGCCACATGTGCAAGTGACATGTTCTGGCCAATCAAATGCGGCCATGTCACACTTCAATTTGATTGGTCGGAAAAGAGTTGTTCCTATACAACTCTCCTTCCACACTATAAATAGGGTCTTCATAATCAGAAAAGACACCAAAGTTATAACAAGAAGCAAGAAAGAGCTCGGGATCAACACTGCAAATTCCTCACACAAGTTTCAAGCTTTCAAGCAATCAAGTTCAAGTTCAAGCAATCAAGTTCAAGTTCAAGTTCAAGAACGAAAAGAACAAATCAAGTATTCAAGCTCAAGAAGAAAACAATTCAAGTATTCAAGATCAAGAACAAAGTCAAATCAAATACAAGGCGTTCAAGATCAAGGCTACTTGTTCGTGATAAAATTTGTGGCAACAATCAAAGTGTTCGCGACGGATAAATCAAGTTCAAATTCAAGATCAAGCTCAAAGGCCCTTGAATTTATACTAAAAAGAGAATCAGAGGAATCATAGAGATTGTAACACTCAAATATTCGAATAAATAATACTACGCATTGTTGCGATAGTTTCGTCCTGATTTTATTTCTCTGAACCGAAATTTTATTGTCTACAGAGTTACCTAGGATTTTCCTTCAGATTAACATATGATTTTTTTCTCATTTTTCTCTGTTTGTTTACCTACGAATTTACTCACGGAAATATACTTGCCAATTTATTTCTCTACTGATATATATTAAAGTTACTAACAATTTAATAGCGCTACTAATATATCTTGAAAATTACGTTCAGAAAAAATTTAAAATACGAATGTTATAAAAATAAAATAAAAATATAATATTAAGTTATTTTATTTGTAATAAATACATAGGTAAAACTATATATGTATAGTATATAATATTAGAAGGTATTACATACAATATGAAGGTTTATATAATATCAAGGGCATAATAGACTTTTCAGTAATAAGTGGACTTTTTGATAACAAGGCAAAGTAAAATGATTTTTGTGTAACAAAAGAAAAAAAGTGACTTTTGTGTAATGAACACAAAGTTAAATGATTTTTACGAACAGAAAAAGAAAAGTGACTTTTGGGTAGCAAATCCAAAAGTTCAATGACCATGGATAAAATTAACTCTTTTTTTAACCATGCATTTGCCATTTTATTGAAAGCATAAAATAGAACATTACAAGGAGGGAACTGAACGCGCAGTTGTTGTGCCCGTTGATTCCACACACTAGAATTTAACCTTACAGGAGAAACCCATAGCTAGGTTTTATTNTATTACCTAATATTACTTATACTTAGTGCATAGTACAACGTAACTATATATTTTTTATATATATATATATATATATATATATATATATATATATATATATATATATATATATATATATATATATATATATATACATATATAAAAGCAACAAAATGAAATCCAAAACTCAAATCAAATTAAATTGTTGTTCGTCGAAAACTAGGTTGTGGTCTTGTCACAGGGGCGTATCTAGGTCAAGGGGTATGGGTTTACGTGAATCTATACTCTTTTCCTTAAACCATGTACAACAATATTATATGTCTTTAAAATTTCTTAAATATATGTGTGTGCACTCATGCTTAAACACTCCTAAGGTGCAATAATTATTGGGTGCACCTCAACACGTGAAATTGGCGGTTCAAATCCCACTTCGGACGATCTTGTTTACGGCAAGAGCATAGATATACATGTGAAAATCAATAAAATTTCAAAACAAAAAAAAAATAAAAAATTGAACCTATAATTTTAAAAGTGTAGTGGGTTCATGGTAAGACACTAAAGTTAAACCCGTCAAATATAAATTCTAGATCCATTTCTTCACGAAAATGCACCCAACATCTTAAAATCGTAGATCCGCCTTTGGGTCTTGATATCTCCTCTCTAACTATGTTTACTAATATATTCGTCGGAGTTCAATGTATGCCCTTCTTAAATGTATCTAGCTAAATCTTCTACTTTATTTTGGATTACTTAAGCATTTAACTAATATTTGTGATTCTCAATTAGGAGTACCTCACTAATTCAAATAGAGGTGACTTCGAAATACCAATAGAGATTATATGATGAATGACAATACTCATTACACAGTTTTTTTCACATAAGGAGAAAAAGGCTTACAACAAGTAAATAGACTTCGATATTATGAAGTACAAGAAGTCCATAATCAAGCGTAAGCACGCCCCTAAACAACCTTGTGCTAGGAAATACTAAGAGGAACTTATTTGACGCTACTTAATTCCACCAAATACACAACCATAGCAACAAAGGAAACGAGAAGTTACCACACACTAGAATTTTATTTTTTTTGTTGCTAAACCATGCATTTGCCATTTTATTGAAAACATAAAGTAGAACATTACAAGGAGGGACAGTTGCCGTGCCCGTGGATTCCACACACTAGAATTTAACCTTAAAGGAGAAACCCATAGCTAGGTTTTATTATATATATAAAAGCAACGAAATGAAATCCAAAACTCAAATCAAAATATGTGTAAGTAGATCAAGCACACTGGAAGCCAGATGGAACCTTTTTTCCACAAACATTAAGAAGAAGGCTTAGAGAAAGAGGGACATTAAGGTTAATCCCAAGAATGTTGGCTTTAATAGCAGTGCATAGGCAAATAGCAGCATCAAGGTCAGCAACACCTTGAATGAGAGTGCAACAAGGTTTTTTTGAAGGATTACCAATCACAAGTCCAAGCAAATTGCCCAAAACATTAGCACAAACACCTAATTTTAGAGTATCAATTGAGCACTTGCCTTTGGATGGGCTAGGACTTGGTTTTGGCTTCGGCTTTGGTTTTGGTTTAGGACTAGGGCAAGTGCCACATGCACTCACGAGGGAGAAAAAGAGAAGGTTGACAAGAATAAAGAGAGCAAGAGAAGTAATTTTCTTAGAAGCCATTTCTAAGAGTCTAAAATTTCTTATAATGAGTGATATAGCTACTAACTTTAGTAGTTATAAGTAGATTTTTGCTTTGTTTGATATTACAAAGATTATAGAAGGTGGGTTTATATAGGATGCAAGAGTATGAATTAGAGTAAAGAGAAATATTAAAGAAATTAAGTTTTAGAAACCATGTGTCCCCAATGTTTTAGCTGGCAGCACAAGCAAATTAGATATTTACTCAAAATATCTTGAATGCATTATTAGCCACATAAGGTGTTGCAATTTGCCATGTTCTTGCCAATGTCTACATCTATGGATAAAACATAGAAGATGTATATGTAAATGTATTGAATTATATATACTAATAGTATAAAAAAATTTAGATTATCATGTTGTAGGTTAGTTATCACTTTTATCCGAATATTTATCAATTATAATACTTATTGAGAAATTTATCCATAATAATATAATAAATAATCTGATTGTATAAATATTTTCACACCATCCGTGCTTTCTCTACCATGAGCTATCACTTCGGCCGTAATATTGTAAATCATGGTATAGAGACAAATTAGTTACATATTGTATTTTCACTGTTAAAAAATTAAATGAGTTCCTGTTACTAGCAACAAAAGAAGTAAAGATGGAGGTAGTTCCTAGCGCCCATATACTTTAGGATAGCAAAAAAATATAAAACAAAAAAACCGGTGCTATTCCAATTTTATTTGTTTTAAAAATAAAATATTGCAGCTGGTTCAAATTAAGATAAAATTAAAATTATCCTAGTACCCTAATGTATATATGAACTTTTGTAGATAATTAGATTCTTGGTTTTTTTTCCCCCTTTTACTCAATATGTTAAGAGTGAACATGCATATTTAATGGTCTTAATTTTTTGTTCCTTTTTCTTTTTAGTTGGCGTTGTAGTTCACTAACTTGATGTTTATTAGTCTTTGCCGTAATTAAGATCAAGTTCAATTCTTGTTTCTCTATGTCTAGTATATTGTTCCTCCTAAAGGACCAAAAGTTGTTAATTACCTTTAGCAGAAGTTCTGAGTGTTTCTACTTTTGGAAGTGACTGCTTCGCTTGAAAATTCCTGTAATTATATTATGATGCATATTGGTGGAGTATTATTATTATAATCTATTGTTTCTACAAATAAAAATTTCTGCGTGTAACGAAATGGTTAAAATAAAGAGTGGTGACATTTGATTAAGGTTAAAGTGATGCATAATTGCATATACCTTTTTTCTTATAGGTTTTGTTTTGTTTTTTCTGGGTTGTATTATTGATCATCGCTCGTCTTAAATTTTGTAAGGTTGTTACTTTACCTAAAAGGCAAACATGAGGTCTAATCATTCTTAATCATTTCATTCCCTTGATCCAGATGAGCAAATGAGGATTGGTATAGCTGAATTTGCGCAGAATATTCGACGATCTAGTGGCTGTTAATCTTTGGAATTTTGTGTGATTAAATCTGGACAAATAGAATAATTATATAATAAGTTGAAAGTTTGGGCATTTCCATCTTGAAATATCTGCCTCAAGTTGCATTTTTTGATAGCATAAGTGGGAAACTTCGACTTTCTTGAGTCACGGGCATAATCGGACTCTACCATGGGCTCCACGTTATAAATGAATTTTTATTTGTTGTAGCAAAGTTCGATACCTTAATTATTTTAAATAAATATTCTTTTAAAAAATTATATTCCATAGCTACCTTTTGATTTTTATAGTCAAATATCTATTTATGGTCATCTCCTACGCTTAAGCCATAAAATACGCTTTGTATTATTTTTCTCTCTCATTCTTTCAAATTTTTCTCCACCCTCTCTTTCTCTCTCTCAACGCCATTCTTTCTCCATGAATACAACCATGATTCTCCACTGATTCATCTCCATTTCGAACGAGATTTTCATTGTCAGTGGCCTGGGACTCTAAATCAATGTCGAAATCAAGCCCCAGAGAGAAAGATGGAGGTTCAAAATCTGCTATTACACTATACATATCCGTGGAAGGAATGTATCCTACATGATGAACAATACATTAGTTCAGCCTTACAGCAATGATACGAAACAATACATTATGTTTTGTATGAATGTCGAATCTGACATAGGGTAAATTGGGGCTGACAATTGAGGTTCGAAATCTGCTATCGACGAGACGACATTAGTGTTATTCTTGAACAAAGACGACGGAGTTTGGGGCTGAGCAACTTGAAGAGTTTGTTACCTTTTTTTCACTGTATTTCAATATTATCTCGCTGTATTATATGTATTTCATTGTATTCATTGTCTTTTTTTTCCATTGTATTTCAATGTATCTCGCTGTATTCCATGTATTTCATTGTATTCACTGTCTCTCTATATTCCATGAATGTATTCATATGTTTTTTTTAATTAATATATTTTATGTATTCAGATGTATTTATGTATTCAGATTTATAATTGAGTTTGTTGAGTTATATTAGGAGTCTATTGTGTTAATTGATTCACTTTCCGTTTAAAAACAGCTGAATAGACCACGATTTACGCTATTTACGTTACTGTATTCAAATACATATCGTGAATACAGTCGAATATAATAATTGCCTAGTTGTACTCCCCTGTTTCACATCGAGTTTTGCTACTGTATTCATCATGAATACAGAAGATTAAATACATCGAGTACACTCTAACAAAACTGAAAACATAGCTATAGGAAGTAATATAGTAAATGGTAGCTACAGCTAGCTAATAACACACTAAATAATAGTGGTTTGTGAATTTTTTTCTAAAATGAAATAAAGCATATGTAAAAATGGATTAAGTTATGGAGTATATACCAATATTGTAAAAAGAATATACTATTAATGCAATTTAATAGGCTATATATACTGGATAATTTCTTTACTTTTCAGTTAATCATAATAGACTTGCTACAAAAGGTTACTTATTATGGCAAGTCAATGTATAAGAAAAGTTTAATACACTGGCAGTAGACAAGATTTAAAGAGCTTTTAACATATTTGGGCGCTTCGTTGACTAATTATGTACTATAATTTATAACTATCGATACCCAAAATAATTTTTTCAATCGTCGGCAAGGAAGCAGTTTTAGACTTTACAGTAACAGCTTGTTTGGATGTATCGTATTGTATTGTTATCTCTGAATAATGTTTGTTTTGATTGTTTAGTCAAAATTTGTTGTATTGTATTGTTAAATCTATTGTTCCGGAACAACGAAAAGTCCCATTTTTTGCAACAACCGGTTTGGTGTGGTGAGATTGTTTCATATTTTTCTTTCCAATTATGTCCTAACTTATTACTTTAAAATTATATTTTACCCTTTACCTTTTTACTTTTTAACTCCAAATCTCCAACCTTTAACCTACTTTGTTTTCATTTGTCACGATCCGGATTTCCCACCTTCGGGGATCGTGATGGCGCTTACTCGTGAAAGCTAGGCAAGCCGACAATTACAGTTTTACCACCATTATAATTAATCAAACAGGAACAGAAAATGATGAAAAATAAAATAATTATGAAATGCGGAAGTAATATAACAGTGCCACAACTCAAGTACATAACTACTCCATAGATCCGGTGTCACAATCCACGAACGACTAAGATTTACTACAAATATAAGTCTGAAAGAAGTACAATTGTTCTCGAAATAGAAGAGCCATAAGAAACTAAATTAACGGGGAAATGGGACTTCAGGCTCAGCGAACGCCAGCAGATCTACCTTGGACTCCCTGGATTGAAGGCAACAACCTCAAATCTACTCGCAAGGTCCGGCACCGAAATCTGCACAAAAAGTGCAGAATGCAGTATCAGTACAACCGACCCCATGTACTGGTAAGTGTCGAGCCTAACCTCGGCGAAGTAGTGACGAGGCTAGGACACGACAACCATATAAACTTGTGCAGTTAAATCATATACGAGTAGAACAGTAATAACAGAAAATAACAGATAAAGATGGGAAGGGGAAACATGCTACGGGGAATATCAAATTGTAATAGTAGTTCAACAGAGAAGCATGATGAACACCATATTTGTATCAACAGGGATAATGAAACAGTAACACGTGCACGCCATCACCCTTCCTGCTTTTACTCTCGTTCTCACTATAAGAAACAACAGAAACGACACGACATCACCCTTCGTGCATTAACTCTCATAATCGTGGCACGGCATCACCCTTCGTGCATTAGCTCTCAAATCATGGCACAGAATCACCCTTCGTGCATTAACACTCACAATATCGGCACGACATCACCCTTCGTGCATTAACACTCACTCACAATATCATGCACGGCATCACCCTTCGCGCTTTATACTCTTCCTCACCCAAACAATAGAAACAATACATCCCGGCAAGGGAATCAACAATAGAAACAATAAGATCCCGGCAACGGAATCAACAATAGAAATAATAACATCCCGACAAGGGAATCAACTATAACCAATCTCGTTTCAACAGTTAACTCCATAAAATAAGTCTCAACTTGAGTCAATACTCAACAATGGTCAATTACCAAGAAAATATCATAAGTCTTGTTCAACATGGATTATCATCAATTTAAGCATGAACGGTACATAATAAGAGTCACAACAGTCACAGTATAAGACTCGTTTGCATGCTCGACACCAACGTATAGATACTCGTCACTACACCTATACGTCGTACTCAACACTAACACGTAGCAAATAAGGCCACAACACCTATTCCCTCAAGCTAAGGTTAGATCAAACACTTACCTCGATTCCACGGTCAAAATCAAGCCTCAATTGCCGCTTTACCTCTCGGTTCCACTTCCAATCCACTTGAATCTAGTCATAATTTACTTAATAACATCAATAAACGCTAAACAAACCAATTCTAATGCATGAGTATAGATTTCCCAATATTTTTCCCAAAACATTAAAAACCGACCTCGGGCCCGCTTAGTCAAAACTCGAAGTTCGAACAAAATCCGATTACCCACTCACCCACGAACCCAAATATGCAATTGGTTTTGAAATCCGACCTCAATTTGAGGTCCAAATCTCCAAAATTCGAAAATTCTAATTTCTACCCAAGAACACCCAATTTCTCATGAAAAATCCTAGATTTTGAGATGAAATCATATAAAAAGATGAA